CACACACACACACACACACACACACACACACACACAGTATATATACATTGCCCACTCACCACTTTCATGTGTGAGGTTTGATGTAAGATTAATTTATGATGAGAAAATACAGATAAGAGTAATATTTGTCTCAGAATTAACATTATACAGCATATTTTGCATAAACAGAATTTCACAAACATATCATTGCCTTTTGCCTTTGATGGCAGCCAATAAAAAAGCAGAAAACTAGAAAAAGCTGACAGCTTTAACACCATGAGGTGTGACAGTTCAAGAGGAGAAAATCTGTATGTTTAAACTTCATTAAAATACCCAACTCCTTTTTATTATTGAAACTATGTGTCAAAACAGAAGTTTTAACATCCCTAATCTATTTCAACAGAGGTGTAATACTGGGCTTTTTTGTTTTTCTGGGTGAATTTTTAAATTGTGCAAAACTGACCACAAACCCATTTTTTTGTAAAGCCAAGAAACTTCTCGAATAAGAGAACTTCTCTACACAGAAATGTGGTTTGAACAGAAAAAAATAGCAATAGTGTCACCATGTGTTAAGAAAAATTGTTTCTGGTTTTATCTCAGCTTTGACGAGGGACACAAAAACTGTTTGGTTCTTTTTCATCCTGTGGAAAATAAAGAAAAAGATGCACAACTTTTAGCAGTTTTAAACATTCTGACATTTTTTTTTAAATTCCGGTATAAAATTTAGAATGAAGCTGTTGCATTAGCTGTGATTAACTACTTTCATTTTAGATAGATTTCAGATTCAGCTGAAATGAGATTTGACTATTTGTCCTGCAGATTACATCTGACACTGACCTCATGAATCAAAAGAAAATGTATTCTAACTTGAGGCCAACACTCAACAGAACATTTGACAAAACAAACTTTTGTGAAATAATTTCTTATTTTATTTGTCAGATGCCTTGCAACTTCCATTTTACCAAATGTTTGACCAAACTTTCCTTTTTTTAGGTAATTTCTTCAACTTGTAAGCAATAATTGGTGAGTAGAGGATATTTTCCAAGCAGCACAATCAAATAAAWCATCCATAAAAAGGTTAAATTTAGATTTGCAGTTGAATAAAATGTGATTATTCCTACTAGTTGCTATTTTTACAATAAATATACTGCTTGACTTGACTTGCACGGCCACTGGAAATTGGCACCAGCTCCCCGGTGATCTGGGAAAAAAAATTGGATGGATAAACGGACAAAGTTTGAAATGTTAAATATATGTGCCAAACATCGGCAGTTTAGTTTTATTTACCAGCCAAAGCATGTTTCAAATCCTCATTTAGTTGAGTTGGAAGTCAATGATCATTTGGATTATAGGAGCAGCAGGGAAGTCCATACATATGATTCCAAAACGCTGGTTCAGGTCCGTCTTGGCCTGCAGGTACTCATACAGTTGGGGGTTGATGCGCAGAGCAACAGCCCTGGGGTGTGCAAACACACCGGCCCCACTGCTGAAGGTGAGAAAAATCTGCTCCATGTTTCCTGCAGGTGCAGCCTCGAGGTGTTTGTGGACACTCTGCCATTTCTTTTCCAAATACCCAAGTGTTGGCACCTAAAAAAAACAACAGAAAATTTACTGGAACTCTATCATTTTGGTTCACTTGGGCTCTGATTGTGTAAAATACTAAGAAAGTATGAAATACTTATGACTAAATTAAGTTTCTTATACCCTCCAATCATCAGCTATGTCTAAAGAATCATAGCGCATCCCCAGGYCTGGTCCATAAAAGTTCTGCAGGATGATGAGTTTCCCTCTGGCCTCGCCCATGGTGGGCACCAGTCGGCTGTGCCACAGCAGGTCCCAGTGAGCGTAGCGATGGATGTAGTCTACCACAGCGCCGTAGATGTTATTAGTCTGACTGAACTCTTCTTTCACTCGCATCAGCACCGTCTCAGTTGGGAATTCGTGCAGGAAGTCAACCACAGCCTCTAAAACGTGGCCAAAGTGTCCTCGTTGGTAGGACACTCCATGGTGGAGGATGAGGTTCCCGTTGACGTAACGCAAACGGACATCTAGGAAACRGACGCCGGCCCTTAGCTGGGAAGCCAGAGTCCAGGTCTGACACTCGGAATACACCCCTCCGTACAGGGCCATGGTGTTGTGGGTTCCTGGCATGGTGACCTGAGACAGCAGCCTATCGTCAGGGATGCAGGCCATCCAGAAAGGKTTGAGGAACTCTGGGTTGGGCGTGTCGTCGTAATCAGGCCTCTGAATTTCACCAGAACTAAAACCAATGGCTCTAAAAACAACAGAGAGAGATGTCAAAACAAAGAACAAGTATTGGAATCATAACTGATGGAGAAGGATGTTTGATGGATTACAACCTGCTCAATGAACTTTAAACTTTTGTTCAGCTACATTATATTTTGTTGCACCTTTTGCAGATATTTCTACGTGTATATTTATTTATTAAACCTTGTCTGAACTGGTTAATTTTGGTGCATTTCCTGTGTCAGCGTTTGAATTCAGTTCAATTCAAAAATACTTTATTGATCCCAGAGGGAAATTAGGTGAATGCACTCACCCCAGCAGGACCGTCAACTCTAGTACCAACTTGTACATTTTCAATGACCTTGGATGATAACTCCTTCTGTTTTAGTCCTAAAATAAATGCAAATTCAAAGCAAAAAAAAAAATAAAAATAAAATTAAAGGCCAACATTTAACTTAAGTCATACAAACAACAGACATTTAGATGCTAAATTACTGTATAGAAAAAAGAAAAAACTGATCAAATAATAAATCTTTAAAGTGATCTCTAAAATGAGCAAAATTATGTTTATGTTATTCAGTTTTTTTATATTACTGTCATGACACATATGCTCATGTTTTCAAATGTCAAATTAAAGCTCATATTAAAAATATACAATACATTTCTCACACAGCAGCTCTGCAAGGTGCATAAAATGTAAGAAAAAAAGCTGATTCTTTTCTTCTGTTATCATTTTTAGCTGAGCAAAGCATTCAGTTATTTGCACTCYAAGCAAATGTCAAAACCTCTTGAGGAATTTGGGTAAAAAGAAAGATAACCTAAAGTTAAAACACACAAAAAGTATTTTCTAAAAAAACACTAGATTCAGTTTGGGTCCAAATACATATACAGTATATATAAAAAAAACATAAATGGCAGCTAAAATTAATAAATATTTTTAAAAAATTAGGCATGCTTGCTTCATGAAAGCATATTGGTCAGAATTAAAAAAAACAGTGAGAACAGTTTGTTTTTGTTCTGACCTGCGGTCAGCTTTCAGCTGGGCCCATACCGAATAATTCAATGGCAGACTTAAATCCTTCTAATCCTAAAAACTGAAACACGTTGCTGCTGAGTCAAACCTGCTGCTGTTCACTCCAGTTTGTATCAGAAACCAGGCCGTGTTAGTCCTCAGTCCAGTCCAGGCGCCGGTGGACGATGGGCAGAACCAGAGGGTAAAATGACTGTTGGAGCGTAAACCAGGATTTTATTGTGGAAAAAAAAAAGAACACAGATAAGCATTTGAGTTGTATATGGGTGGGTACCAATGCCAGTGGGTGGGGATGAGAAGGAGTCTATTATTATGTTGATGACTGCACTGTAACAAAATTGTCTTTTGACAGAAATGACAATAAAAAGCTTCAGATCATTTTAAAAACAGTAAAAGTCAGGTAACAAAAGAATAACTATATAATTCATGCTTACTCATGGTACAGTAGGTCCACAAATCTGCCAGCGATGACTGTTTTCTCACAGTTTTTCTTATCATTTTGCAGAAAAGCAAAATATTGACAGGGCCCGCAAGCAAACAAACCACACCAAAAATAATTTTTAAATGAGATAACTTAGAGGTAGATTGTTGAAGAAAAAAAGTGACCGAAAATGAACTTTATGTCTTTGTTTGGCTTTAAAACAACAAAGGTAATAATGATACTTTGAAGATGTGCACGTGTGTGTGTGTGTGTGTGTGTGTGTGTGTGTGTGTGTGTGTGTGTGTGTG